ACGCTCTTCTCATTACGTATTTTAAGTGTAAAGTGTCTTCAGGATTCGAGGGAGATGTCCTTTTTGCTCAAGCGGCGATCTTTTTCGTGGCCGGTCGCGAGACTAGCATTACCACCATGACCTACGCTCTCTGCGAATTAGCCAAACATCCAGAAATGCAGAAACGTGTGCGAGAGGAGATTCTTGAGAAGATCCAGACCGCAAATGGCGTCACGTATGAAGCTGTTCATGATATGAAATATCTACATCAAGTGATAAACGAAACGCTAAGACTTTATCCATCTGCGCCAATTCTAGATAGATCTTCTTTAGAGGATTACACGGTACAAGTAACTATACGTTATACATTATATTACAGATCACCCATCTTTTTTTCAATAATAGATTCTTTAGCCGAATTAAAATGTCGATACGGAGAATAGCAGCTCAATTGACAAAAGTAAATTACAGTTACCTAATACGAAGATAACTATCGAGAAAGGAACACCGATATACGTCGCATTACGTGGCATTCAGAGCGACCCCAGGTTCTACTCGGATCCTAAGCGTTTCGATCCTGAACGGTTCAGCGATGAGAGAAAGAACGAAATTGTACCTTGCACCTTCCTGCCATTCGGCGAAGGCCCGCGAAATTGTATAGGTTGGTGAATCGTAGACTACGTGGATTTAGAATGAGTTTGATGGATTGTAGAATTTGCTGGAGCGAATATTCTTCGACATTTATCAGACGATCTACTCATTCATTTATTACTTCTGCAAAACACAAATGCAATTAGAGAAATATACTTGTTATTAAATTTCTTTTTTACCTTTTGACAATTAAATTTTTAGTATTGTTTTAAAAAATATATATATTAAGAGATCTCTATTGGCGAATGATTTAATCACATGTTTGCTACTACAAAGTAATTTAATCATATATCCGCTACTACAAAAAAAAATTCTGAATCCGCTGCCCTTCCATTAAATTCTCAATCTTCTCCAGATTAATATTCTACTTGATTATTAGGTATGCGACTGGGAATTTTACAAACCGCCGTGGGATTAATAGCGATTCTACGCGATTACGAGGTTTCGTTAAATCCTTCGTGGATGTCAATTGTGGATCCACGGAATGTGTTCACTTCTCCGCCTACCGGATT